AGAGAGAGACCCCATTTGTGGCCGCGGCGGGCAGGACCTCTGGGCTCAATATACCTTCGTCAATTTTGACCCCGGATGGCAGCAGCTCTGCCTGAGTAGAAACGGATTAGAACTATAAAAGTGGAGTAATAGTTGCCCGAACTATAATGGTAACGTGTCCCTTACTTATGGAGTGTGGACTTCCTAGATCAGTCTGACGGCAATGATGAAGATGCTTGTACCCCACTCAACAGACGTTTCCTAAGCCTTACATAAGAGATGAGTACCCTGCACCCGTTGAGCTTTGCAATGGTAATCGAAGTTGCCCTAAATCCTCCGCCAGGCGTGCATCCCTTTCCTACCAGAAGCAGAGTAGGATCGCACCTACCATGTTGTTGAAGATGCATGTCGACATTTCCTCTGCTCCACCATCCTGATTATGGTACGCCCGTCGCGTCGGGCTCGTTGGACTCCTGGCCATTGTTCCTTCCATTGCAAAGTTCACGCCGAGCGACACATTTGCCGGTATGGGCTGATCCCATTGTCCCACAGCAGCAGAGATACAGAAACTTTCCCGCGCGACATCGCTAGATCCGTGCCGTTTGAGGCGCATGTCCGCATCCTTCTCCACAGAGGGTACACCCTGTCCGTTGAGGCTCATTGAGTGCAACGAACCCAGACCGTGTCCCTTTCCTACTGAGGATAGACCCTGATAGTTGATGCCCGTTGAGTGCCGTCCACTCGGTGCGTGCCTTTCCCACAGAGGGTAGACCCGGCTGTTGAGCATGTCGCTGTGGAGAAGTACGTCTCCTCTCGCTCGAGATGAAGCGGAGGGGAACTTGGCTGAGTGTGTGCGACTGCAGGAAGGAGAGCGCGCGTGCGGCATCATGGAGTTGAGCGCGTCGTCGCGCGGTCGCCCAGCGCGCGGGCAGCTCTCGGCAGCTGCTGCTTCCGACTTGGCGCCCGACGCCGCCTCCGTAGCGGCCGCCGCGGCGTCGCGCACCAGCGACACGCCGTCCACCACTGCGCACACCGCGGCGCACCGTCACACACACTCACATAGGACGACGCTAGGGATAGGGTGATAAAAAGGGTCCTCACACTCCTACACGATGTTAAGGGTTGGATGATAAAAAGGATCCTCACACTCTACAACGATGCTATGGGTGAGATGATAAAAAGGAGCCTCACACTCTACACGATGTTAAGGGTGGGATGTAAAAAGGATCCTCACACTCTACACGATCCTAGGGTGGGATGCTAAAAGGATCTCATCACACTCTACACGATGTTAAGGGTGGAGATAAGGAAGGATCCTCACACTCTACACAATGCTATGGTGGGATAATAAAAAGGATCATCACACAATACACGATGCTGGGTGGGATGATCAAAAGGATCCTCACACTCTAACACGATCCTAGGGGTGAGATGATAAAAATGATCCTCACACTCTTACATGATGTTAAGGGTGGATGATAAAAAGGATCTCACACTCTACACGATCTCTAGGGGTGAGATATAAAATGATCCTCACACTCTACATGATGTTAAGGGTGGGATGATAAAAAGGATCATCACACTCCTACACGATCCAGGGTGGGATGATAAAAAGGATCTCACACTCTAGACGATGTTAAGGTGTGGGATGAACAAAAGGATCCTCAACTCTAAACGATGTTAAGGGTTGGATGATAAAAAGGAGTGGTCGTATTCAATTGCCGAAAATAGGGCTAGGAGGGACGTTTAAGCCCTCTCATTTTCCTAGAATGATTGCAGTGAAGGTAGTTTAACTAAATAATTTGCCCTGATAAACTCCACGGTAATGTCGAAACATTGTGTCAAGATACCTACGATTAGTGTCAGCACGATAGTCAAAAACGAAAACGACGCCACAAGTTGTCAGTATTATTGCAATCTGGTAATTGTTTTTGACGACTGCAACATTTTTTTTTACTACAGCCAGCGATAATCTCTTTCAAATTATGATGGGAAGTTAAGTTCGGCTAAGTGACTATTGGAAACAATATGATAGCTATGACATCGACCAAAATATCTACAAAATGCCCATACTTCCAACACGAGGGCAGATTCAACATTCATCTATACAATCTTCAAACTAGTATGAAATTTCGTTGCCCTTAAAAATGACAATTTATTGCAAGTTCATTGTTTGACACTTTTGAGTACAATACCCAATAGATGTAAACTGGATCAGTGCAAAAAACGATTCTGACTTGCTTATTTCTGAACTGCGCAAAATCTCTTAGGAATAATTTTCCCATTTATTCGTGCATTAAAAACGTGGGTTATATAACAAATAATTTAGAAACTCATTATTTTCAATTAAATTCAACAAAATTCTACAACAAATTGTTATTTAGCGCACTTCACGCAAATGAATTCAAATATGCTTCTGATCATTTTCTGAACTACTCAGCAAACCACATTAAGAGTATATTGTTGTAATTATATGGTAGGACACGAAGAGATATAATTGTAGTGTTCTGAAGTATTTGAGTACACTGCCAAGTAAAAATACCATTTACATGTCCAAAGGCCTCCGTGAAGACGTTTTCTCAGAACTATGAACAAAGGGAGTTTTTTTTGAAAATCGCACCAAATTAATATTATTTCCGGAGTTGGTACTAAGGTTATTTCTGGGTTAAGTTTATATGAATCCTAAGTTAAATTACAACTCTTAGTAGTGATCCGCCTATTTTGTCACAGTGCCAAACTGAAGAATTATTTAGAAATGGCATGAAAGTCCAGCATGAAATAAGTCAACTCCGAATTCAAGTCAACGTGCACTGCGGTGTATGAAAGCGTTTATCGTAGAACGGAAGGGCGTCAATCCCACAGGAGTAGGAGCTGTACCGTCGACGTCGTTGGACGCCTGCGGGGCGCGGTCCAGCGCGGAACGCAGCTTCAACTTGAGGCAATGCTGAGGCTCCTGCCGCCGCGCACGTGCCGCTACAGCCGTAGCGGCGCGCAGGTCGCCCAGCAGCCCGAGACCTCTTTGGGCGGCGCGGCCGGACGAAGCCCTCCGCGGAGACGCTCGAGCGCTCGCCACGCCACCACCGCCGCCGCCGCCGCGCACACCAACAACCACGAGCTTGCAGGACCATGGCTCTGTTCCTCTGCGGCAGGCGAGCGGATCGGCGAGGAGCGGACTTGCGAAGTGATACGCTGGCGCGGCGCGCGCCCTGCGCTTATATACGCCTCCCGCCGCGCCGGGCGCGCGCCGCGTCCGCGCCGCGCCGCCGGCGCGGCGGGGATGGGGTGGGGGGGGGCAGGGAAAACACTTCATCACTTATGAATAAGCAGTAATAGCGCAGGCTCCGAAAACATTGCTGCAGAAAGAAAAGTGACGGACGGACGGACGGACTGGAAGAGAGGAGGGATGGAGGGGGCAGGGGGAAGTGGAGCAGAGCGGGAATAGTGGCGAGACGCGAGAAAACGAAAGACCGCGCCATTCGACAGACGCGGGCCGCTGGCAGGAGAAGGAGAGGAGTGAGATGGGGTGGGGGGTGGAAGGGAGGAGGGTACTGTGCGTACGCGAGGGCTGGGCGTGGCGGGAGATGGGAAGGCGATGGGAAGGCGGAGGAACCTGTTCGGACAAGTGCGGCCGTGGTGGTGGAGGCGGTGGGTTCGGTAGCGCTGATGGCAGTGGCGGCTGTGACAACGATGGAGGTGGCGGTGACACTCGTGGAGGTGGCGATGGTCGCTGTAGCGGCAGTGGTAGAAGTGGCAATGGCAATGACGGGGGGGCATGGCGATGGAGATGGTGGCTTCGAAGACGGCGTCGGTGGTGGTGATGGCGGTAGCGCTGGTGACGGCGATGGTGACGGTGAAGGCGACGGTGAAGGCGACGGTGAAGGCGACGGTGAAGGCGACGGTGAAGGCGACGGTGAAGGCGACGTTGAAGGCGACGGTGAAGGCGACGGTGAAGGCGATGGCAGCGGCGGTAGCGGCGGCGGCGGCGGCGGCTGTATAAAATTTCTCTATCCACGTCTCTTTGTCCTAAACTACTTTTTCGCGGCGTGCGGGGTGGTGTCCGTGAGGTTTCTCTTGTCCCGGCTTCGCGTGCCCGCGAGGGGGCCGGATGCCGTGTGGCGAAGGTGACCCCCCCGTCCCCCCATGGGGGCACATTCGCAGCTGCGAGGGGTCGCGCGTCGCTCCTCGTTCGGCCCGCTTCCCTCGCGGAGAAAACTCCAAATTGGGGAATTTTTCTAGAAGAAAGTGTTCGGTGTTGTATCCTATTACCGAGGCTTAACAGCGCAATTTTCTGCCGTTTGCCTTTAGGTAAAATTGCAAAGGTTGTGAAAAATGAATGAATTATTCATTAGGATGTTGCTGCTGATATGGAAGTCCCTACAAATTCCGGGTTTTACTCTACGACATGGCTTCCCTGATTCGTCAACTTGCTTTGCTAATAAGAGAGCTGACTCCCTTTCGAGAAAATATAGTATTGAATTACAAGGAATATATGTCAATTTATTACATTCTCGATTTAATATTTAGACGAAAGTAAACATTTTATTTCATTAAAAGTGAATAAGAGACCTGACCGCTATTGCTAGGGTTTCACTGTGAAATCTTCGTCTTTTCTCAATAATTTGTCAGTAAACCTCGCTTGCTGCTAAAAGAAGAATGGTATACCGTTGGAGGTCTTCATATTCGTTGGGATGTTGTGCTAATACATTTCTGAAAATTTAAAGAAATTGTAGTGGTAGAACCCCCTTCAAAAACTACGTAGGTTGTTTTCAAGTGAATCCTATATGTAACGTTCACTGTGTGAACGATATTCTTGATTCCGCAACATACTTCTGGTTGGTCATGTATGCTCCTTGATATTGACGAACTGCAAGGTATGTCTGTTGACAGGTTCGTAGGCCATCAACACTTATTGCTTATTATCTCTCTTTCGTATTATTTCTCTATATTATCCCCCTCTTTGTGTTCTCCATCTCTTTCTCTCTCTCAATTTCTCAATGTTTCTTTTTTCTCCATTCCAAACTTTTTTTATTCCTTTATCTTTCTTTTTCGACTTTTTTCTATTTCTTCCTTTCTTCTTCTCTTGCATTTTTTCTTTCTGTTTTTCCTTTCTTCAGCGTATTCTCTCTCTCATGTACACCCAATGTTAATATGAGTTGCCTTCTCCTTCGATAGACAAATAAAATAGAGGTGGCCAATGAACACTGAGTTGTGAGTTACAATCCTATTCGTGGGCACTTGTGGATAATGCATTCTCGCACGACTGTTCTTACGTCTTAGAAGACGTAGCTTTTACATCAAAGTAACTTCGCTTCAAAAGACCATGCCCAATTATGCAAATACAGAACGACATCTTAATATTTTTTTAACTAATGCACATCCACCAAAAACTCAGGTTCTCAACATGCATTCCCACTGAATGTAAAATGAAATTAACATTCATCGTTTCATAGGTGAGAGACTATTCGTGCTAAACAAATTTCAGTTTGATTTATTCACTGTATTTGAGCACAATTAATTCAAATTTATGGGCAGGAAAAATTGTGAAGGTATTCGTGTAATGGTATACCCGTATCAATGCATGGGAGTTTTCATGAATTTCTATATGTCTCATCATCTACGGTCCAAGGAAGAACACCAGTTATTGGAAATTCATTCATCATTGTAACCATGAAATATGTTTTCAAGAGTCTTTGAGTACAACTATTCGGAAACAAATGTTTAATGTATGAAACCTCCTGCGATAAAATAATGTAGTAAACACTTGACTAGCTTCGACGATGCAAAAGACGTGATATAATCGAATGTATTATGTAATCAGTCGCATCAGCCGGTAACTTTACATCGAGTTGAAATTGAATTTAAAACAAACAATATCTCATAGTATTTGACAACACTTCAGTCTTGCTTCATTTAAACTCCTACCATCTTCCTTGCAAATTTGAATGACTCTCTAAGCCACTTCACATCACTTCACAATCCTCGCTTCATTTCACTTTTCTTTTCTCTCTTTTTCTTCTTTCTCTGAACAACACTTAACCATTCTGTACGAAGACGTTAACAAGGAAGATACCCACCGTAGCATTGAGGTTCTTCTAAAATAGGCTGTGCCACAATAACATGCTTACACTCCATTTAACACATAAGTACGCATACACAGTGAGCAACGTTTTAATTTGCTGGAGGATAATACCCTCCCACACATCTGTAAAGTAAATCATAGGAAAATAATTTAGGGTAATACATATACAATCATACTATAATTGTAACAGTACAAATTCAAAAAGTTAGTTACAATATGTGTAAATATAACTGAAATACAATAAATAATAATTTGAAACATTTTCAACAGCTGGCGTTGAAATAGATTGTTCTCCATATAAAGTAATTACAGTCAAAGAAATTAAGTTGCGCTACAATGCTCTTATTACATGGTAGTGATATTAGCTGAAGCATTTTCATCGCATTTCTCTTGTCTAAATTAAATTTAGAAGGTTTGTACAGATCCAATGAGCAGGTACTGAACATCCTTTAGAGTTTTTGATGCAAACCTTTGAGGGATTGCTACTGTGACCTCTTGTGGATAATCGTCGCCAAAATACTCATTCGCAGATGTGACTGATAAACGTCTGTTTGCGTATAATTAAGTGTTAAACGCCACTGGTACAAAATGTGTAGATTTCATAGTGAAGATAATATTAAATTAAACTTAATTAGTGTTAAAGATATTGCTCACATTTATTTTTAGGGAAGAACTTCAAAAAAATAATTGAAGAAAACGTTTACATTGTATGATGTAGTTTTCAAAAAAAAGAGAAATTCCTTTAAAAACCTTAAAATGAATGTATGAAATTTATATATGTAAGCTATGTACCGTGAAATCCTTTCGTATTGAATCCGGCTTTTTGAAAATGGTGAATTAGGCCAGGTTGTGATTCGATCAATAATCTACATCACATTTAGCGTAGAGTTATGGTGATTGATAATACACATTTTTGTTGATTACATTTTTAATGTTAACAAATATAATTCAATAATAAAATAAATGTAATAACGCAAATCCGTGGTGAGTGGCTAAACGTTAATAAACCGCTTCAGTTTACCTTCTAAAACTGCTTTTAAAGTCATGCGGTGCTCTTTTTATTTCTTTCTAGCTGCATTAACTGCTAGGTTATTAATGATTACTCTGTAATGTTACATCTCCTAAAACAACTCTATGCTTTTGAGTGAGACAAATCCTCTTGAGTGAGAGGGCCTTAGCAAATATTTTCGTAAAATGTACAAGTTGTTCATCTTCATGTATTGATGGCTGTGTGCTGAAGATTACAATTGACTTTAAATATGACAAGGAACTGAATAAATATAGACAAAATGATGAGTAAATTTGGTTAATGTATGGTAGTTCTGTAGTCGTGATATTTTGTCGGGCCGAAATTCAGTTACAGTGAACTCTACACACCTTTAGCAACAAACACTTTCTCTTGCCGTGCAAGTAAAAGGTTTTCGATAGCCAGATATGATTCCCTGTCTAATATTCAATTTAATTTTGGAGGTTTTGCGTGTAATATTTTTTATGATTTTTAGGTAAGCCTTTTATGCAGATTACACCGTGTCATTCTAAAGAGTAAGTTACGAACTAAGTTTTAATGCCGGACATGTTGCGTGATGAAAAGAAGAGAAACATTTCTTCAGGCGTGTGTGGTCGCGTGATGGTGGTGTGAAGATTATGGGTGTGTTGCATGCTCGCACGCGCCTTTCAGCTTCTCTGGCGGACAAAATTACCTCCTGCGGTCTCATTAACGGTGCATAAAGCACATAAACGTTTTGTAGGTGAAAGCGATTCATTTCACTTCGAGCTAATGTGCATATGTTTAAAAGGACTCAATGTTACCCTCATTTCCGCTGTATATCGCGCTTGAAACCTGATTGCACTTTTTCTGAAATAGAAGCACATTTCGAATCAAGTCATAGTTTCTTTTCTTGTTGAGTTTCAACCCTTTACCCGTAAAATTGTATATGAATATTGTTGTTGTACCTAATATTCGGACTCCAAAACCCTGTTTTTTTAATCAGTTTCGACATTGCATATTGGGACAATAATTTGCTCATTGACCGAATTATTTTCATCAAAATCTACCTACCATTTTTTTAAATACTTGTATTTATTCTTTTTGTACAACTTACATGATTTTCAGGGATATTAACACTTATACAACCTTACAAGTATTTTACTTTTTCTCTCTGTACTACAGAATAGGGAGCACACGTATTCACCTCAACAATGTGATCAGCATACCCACAACTCAACAATTTATCGGTTGCAAAATACGTGTTTCGGGTTCATTTCAACCGTACTTTTGCATACACATCAGTGTTACGTTGTATTATCGATGTTCTAAAGATGGTTAAGATAAGTGCAGGTGGAGTGAGATATACAAGAAAGCAAACCCTAACCCTTTTGTACCCTAAAAACGTCTTAAGACGTGGATGGATTATTAGGTGGACGGATGTGTCACGAACAACTGTTATGTTAGAAGATTTTGAGCTGAAACTGTTAATTTTGTCGGGAGTAAGGCCTATATGTGCATTTTCGGAGAATATTACAATATTTTAATTTTTGGGAGGGACTTTACAAATTGGACCTCTTGACATTTCCAACATTTTCTGGAAAATGGCAGACCCTTTCTTCTTGAAATGTTTTGTTAATATAGAAGATAGTTCATTCAAATGTACGGTATAGTTCCAATTTTCATTAAAACATCTGACCTTTATAAAATTGTAAAAACATTTATATTTAAAATACTAAGGGTTTTCGTTACTTATACCATAAGTTCAAGGGATAAGATGAAATATTTCGTCAAAGAAATAGTAATCAATCAAATATGCAAATATAAACACATTCAATGTGACTAAATGTCTCGGTATGTTGCAAGTTTCAAAATGAAAAATAATAATTAGCATCACCCACAAATTTTCTATAAGAGAGATTATTCAGTATGACAGTTGCGATAGAATTAATTACGCCGAATGCGCACGTGCGTGTGCATTAAGGTAGTGAAAGCACACCCACTCTCTTCAAAAGAGCGTGACGGTAGAAAATGTTTTGAAGCGATCCTATTCAGCCCAAATTCTTCGTTAATTTTGCCGAATATCATCAGCCATGTTTAATTTATATTTTAGCGTAATAAACTTGCTACGTTATTATGTAGTAAAGAGAAAGTACTACTGCAGCAGAAATAGGCATATTTTTAAAAAACTGCGACTTTTGGTTTTAAAAAATTAGATAAATATTTTACTTGTAACGAAATTCCTTCCTCTATCACGATATATCATTAGAATTCACGCTTCTTGGCTCGAGTTTTTGATACCGAAAAATTGGTTGACGGTAAAACGTCCGGCCATTCGTCCCTCCTTCTGTCTTCGGGCACTAGCGCCTCAACCTTTCAGACACTTTTCTAAACGATCGATTTCTATTCTCTAATCGATCTTGACGAACTCTGCAGAAAGACATGCTTAAAAGAATTGTACAGGTCTCATTTTCGTTGAAATCTCTCAATGGTTGAAAATTCAAAATTTGGAAGGTTTCCCAAAAATTTAATTTTTTTTTGAAAGTTTAATTTTTTTCAATGTCTTCCTACAACTATAATATTAACTCAACAACGACTCTACAAGACGTTCCTTCAAAAAACACCTGGAAATACAATTATTACAGTAGTAATAATAATGTCTTTATTATGGGGAGGCTCAGGCCAGAGGGCCTCCCTTCCGCCAACCACTGAATTTACATACATTTAGAGTGTAACATTTTAAGAGGGGAGGACAAGGATGTACATTTGCGTCTGGGAGAACAAATCTAGGGACCATCCCGGCATACGCCTTAAGCGATTGAGTAAATCCAGAAAAACCTCAATCAGAATGGCGGCTTAGGGCCGAACATTAATAGAACTGACTATTCCGAAATATAGTAGTAATATTCCGAAAAGAACACGTGTGCAGAAAGGGGCCGTTGCATTCTGCGCGCATGGGCATTTATATCATGGTTTCGGGCATTAAAATGCGCCGCAGAGAAATCCGACTCGGTGACAATCTACAAAGGTGAAAATCTACTAATCTTATTTATAGTGCTATCTTATTTATAGAAAACCAAAAAATGATGTTTTCATGAAATTCCCTCAAATTTCACAGATGCCTCCATTTAAGAACATTGTACAGATCTTATGTTCGTCGAACACCCTGTTTTTTTTTTCGAAAATTACAACTGTTTAAATTTTTTTCGACTACTAAAATATTAAAGATTGGCTTAATGAAATATGTTTCTTAAAGATAAATTTTAAAATAAGGTCATGTACAATTTTTCGAAAATATTAGTACTTTTGCGTAATTTTGCGTGAAAATACGGGGTAGAAAGTACGTGTTGTGTTAATACAATCAGTTTTCTTAATTAAATCTGTTTCTTTAAAACTAGATATTTGATTTTTTTAAATTGTCAATATTAACGTTTTTACGGCGACAGAAATATTGAGTATAGCGATGAGGCTGGTGGTGTAGAGGAAAATATAAATGGTGTGTTGATTCTGAGAACTTGAGTTCGAACCCCAGCACGAAAAATAAATTATTGCTCCTTGTAAGCAATTCTAAAGGTTCATGTCTTGTACTCGTAATATTGTGTAACTATTACTAATGATGTTAGAAAAATATGCTGTTGTTGTACCACTAGTTCATTCAATTTCAATCTTTCAACTAACACTGACTTATTGAATTATTCTTCGGTCTATTGAATAGTGGAATTTGAAATTGTTTGAAAATAGTTTTTATGTACCTAGTACAAAAGGTTAGTATTCTTCCTATAAATGAAAAGTTAACGGACAAGGGGTATCCAGCACTTTGAAATAAGTACGCCAACTTCATGCTGCGCGGTTTGTGTGTTCATCGAGCATAAACAGTGGTAGCTGGAGATTCGTGAAGAGATAAGTTGCGACCATTAATTTCAAAGTATGCAAAACTGTACACGTTAATGTTCGACACATTGATACCGATATGACATTTATATTCGATATTCTGCATTGACAGAGAAGCATTGGCATTTAAAAAATATTAATTGCCATCGACAGGGTCGGAAGTCTCACGTCGGAAAGTTGGGAAAGAAATGAAAGAAGATGGTCGGACGCGGCGGGGCAGAACGTTTCCAGGTAATACTCGTAGTAGGATGACGTGGGACGAAATAGGAAAGATGAATTGGTTTGTGGTGGGGCCAACGAGTCGGGTTAAAGTGGGATATTAAGACCGGGAACCGGATGGAACGAGACGATAAGTGTTGGAAGACGCAGGATGTGATAGAATGAGAAGGGATAGAATGAACTAAAGTGGAACAGGATGGGGTTGTACGGATGCGATGGATCGAGGCGGGGTGGGATGAGATGGAACAAAGTGTGATGGAATGGGATAATACGAAATGAAATGGGTTACAATGAGGCGGATTGGGAAGGGACAGAATATAGTTAGGTGTGAGGGTATGAGAAGGAACGAGGTAAGACGAGAATAGGCGGGATGGGACGGGACTAGGAAAGGCGCCACAGAAGGGGGCTGAACGAAAAGAAAGGCGCTAATGTCACACAGGAAGGTTCGATGAAAGAAATAAGAATCCCGTTATCTCCCCCAGACGTCCCAAGGCAGCGAGGGAAGCGCGGAGACGCGCCGTGCGCTATGCGCGGGCGAGGGGCCGCGTGGGCGCCTAGGAGGAATCAGAGCGCACACGCGGCGCCCGAGGGGCGGAAGGATCGACGCTCCGGCGGGCGGACAGCGCACGCGCGGCCCACGGCCCGTGCCCCGCTCCTCCTCCACCCCTTCCCCTTTCCTCTCTTCCTCATGCTTCCTCTCCCTTCCCTTTCCCATCCCCTCCCCACCCACGCCTTCCCCCGTCCCAATACTGACCTCTCCTTCCCCCCTTCCCCTCCCCCCCTCAGCCCACCCCTTAACCCAAACCCATCCACCCCTCCCACTCACCCCTACCCCTCCCTTGCTCCCTGCCCATTACAACCTCCCTCCTCCCCTTCCCCCCTACCACCATCCCCCTCCTACTCTTTCTCCATCCCCCACCCCCTTCCCTTCCCCAGTCCACCCTCCCTTCTTCATCCCCTTCGCCTACACCTTCCCCCTTCCCGTCGGTCACCCAACACACGCAACCAACGCCTTTGGGAGCCAGTCCCTACATTTTTTTATTTCTCGATTACTACGTACTTAAGTAATGAAGAAAAATGTTGATAAGGAAAGTGGTTATTGTTGTCAGGAAAATCTAGAATTGTGAGACAAAAGAGGTGACAAATATTGTTGTATTTGTTAACACTTGTCTACGGTAGAACTAAGATTTTTGTGGGTTTTGGTATCGGAAGGAAAAAGTGTTTGATGGCAAAACGTCCGTCCGTCTGTCGGTGTGTCCGACTGTCAGATCGAGGGAAGTGGCTTAGAGCAGATGATCTCACCGCAGTGCCTCTGAAACGGAGGCCGTAGGTTCGAGTCCCGACGATGGCATGACACTAGCTAGATTGCTAGAACAAATTCAGCCGCTGCCTGGAAAAGAATTCTAGCGGCCGGCTAGTCTGAGTGGTAGATTTCCGTGGAGTCTCCGATAGACACTAGGCGAATGCCGGAGCAGTGCCCTAACAAATGCGCCACGGACCGCGCGTGATCTTTCCTTTCCCTTCCTTGTCCTATTCTCACCCCTTACTTACAAACATATACACTAACATTCACTACACTACCACACACGCCGGGAGACCGGGCGGGAGTATAGAGCTTGTCCCGGATGAGGTGGTGCCCTGCTATTGGGAGATACCTGGTTTGAGAACACCCCATTAGCCGACGGTAGGACGGCGCTGTATCTCACCACCTAGCGGGGAAAGACCACAAACACCTCCCGAAGAAAAACATGCACTATCCTTACGGATTAATGACCTCATTCATTGCTAAGGCTGATAATTCTATGATTACTGATAAATAAGTATTAATAGAAGTGTGACAGTAATATGAAAGAAACATTAATTAGCTGGCCTCCAAGGAATATATATCCACAAATCTCCACAGCTCTGAACCCTGCTTTTTCAGGCCGGACACGCAGTTGAATGCGAAAGAGTCATCGGGTTGGCGAACCGTTACCACGAAATTGCTGGCACTCCCTGCGTATGATAGGAACTCCTGGACTTCGCAGCGCTCCGCGACACGAAACGGCGATCGCCCCACAGGAAGCGCCTGCCTCGTGCAGAGGACCCGTTGCGGCTACTCTCAACGACCCGTGGATCTGCAGACTGGCTCACTGGGTCTCCACGTAACTCGCTCGCGTAATTGTGAGAAAATCGTTCGCATTCGCTGAAATCGGGACTTGCGAGTTCTTCCACATCCACGTCCGGGAAATCATGTGCACACGAAAGCTTCGGATAGTTCTGAGCCAGTCTTGTTGCGTTTTCTAACGCGGATCACTTTTAGAGCGTCGTTTTGTCGCCTTGCGACATTTTATTGGGTGCGGCATCTCGATAGAAGTGAGGATGTGATGAGAGTGTGTGAGAGGTTATTTTGAACCAAACTCCATTCAGTTTGATTAACTCCGTAAGGAATCGAAGAGTCGTCTGAGACTGTCATAACATAAAAACGTAAATCTACCAGCAATGTCCATTTTTTAAAAACAAATATTGAAATACAGCTTTGGTCTGAATAAATGTGCTTACTGTATATTCGAAAAATTCGTTCTCGTAATTGTGAGAAATCGTCTCGCGTGCGTTGAAATCTGTTTTCTATGTTCCCCCGCATCTGAATCCTGGGAATCACATGCCGAGAGAGATACCCCTACCTCTGTTCTTGCGCTCCCTGACCCAGATCGGACGGATCTCGTTCAGTTCTTTTATTCGCTTTCCACGTTTTACCCTGCTTCTCTGAAGTACTCGCTGAGAAAAGAATGTATGTGAGTGAGGGTGCAAGAGAGAGAGAGAGGGGGGGAGAGAGAGAGAGAGAGAGAGAGAGAGAAGAGAGAGAGAAGAGGAGGGTGGGAGAGAAGAGGTTAGAGGTGTTAGAATGTCATATGTGTGAGGGGAATGAAGTGTGAGAGGGAATGTGTGAATAATGAACGGTTTAAGGTGGTGATTTGCTTCTATTTTTGATCCATTATCGCCGAGACTGATTTTTCGTGTATTATTCATCTATTGAAATAAAAAAAACTTACCTCTTAATTATTTCTTTCACATTTTTTTCAAATATTTCTCAAATTTTCTAATAATTGGGTAGAAAATGGTTGAATTGAAACAAATACCCACGTCTCCTGAATATATTTCCGGTCTGTTCTGCTTAGTGCTGTTTTGAAATTGTTGACTTCAAATGAAGACAAAAATGTTTGCAGATTGTGTTCAACGAAACGTTGTTTACACACTCGCCACGCCCTACAGCCCCCTTGCATGCTCTGCCTTGATCCCGCCACAGTCTCGTCCGCTCTCCCTGCCTCGTCCCACCTCGCCCTGCCTCGCCTGACCCAGCCGTGACAAGTGATTTGCTCAGCTCTAAGATGTCCCACCTATCACAACCCACTCTACTCTTCCGCGTTGTTTCTGCGTAGATGCATTGCAGGTTGCATTCTCGTTACAAAAGTGCCACGAACCTTGGGTTCGAGATCTGTGTGGTAACAATGCTGCTTAAAAGAAGTCCGAGAAAGTAATGTTACTGCAGGTTCTTTTTTAAGCCGTTCCCCAGATTAGGGGAACAGACAAAAACGTGTAAAACCATAGTTGTGTGTGATTTATATCGTAAATTACCATATGAACTCATAAGAGCAAGTTATTTTGAAATGTCGGATCGTACATTTCTTATTTCTAAGTATGCCACAGTCACTTCTCCATCCACAGTACAGAGTCTCCCTACATTATTGTAGAGGAGCCATATGTTCATGGGAATAGCATGATCTCTCGGAATCCACGAGCTAGTACGGGGAGGAAGAATTTCGAGGCTCGGTTTGGTTGGATGTTTATGTACTAATCCTGATTTGTCATTGAGAAGATGAAACACGAAACGTATTCATTAGAGCAACCAATCTCTTACAATTATCTTTCGTACACTTATCGACTTCAACACAGCTACTTACGGAGCTTCTGGGTCTTTTACAGACGGATTATTTAATCGATTGATTTGTTTCGGGTTTCAATTACTGTGATTAGGAGTCCCATAAGTGTAGTGTATTTATCTCCAGAAGGTGTCGATGTTCCTCTCCCGAGGTTTCCCCACCAGGGAAAAGCCTTTATACTTTAGTGATTAGACATCTTTATTACATAATAACAAAGTTATAAAGTGTAAAATGTCACAATTTCCGGAGTTACTATTAAGGAGATGCTATTCCAGAGAAGTCTATTTTAAATACAACATAATACAACGATGTACATGTACGATGTATTGTATGGCTTTAAAGGAAATTTCTAGAAATCGGCTTTCCTCGCCGTATTTCCGGCGATTCCTTTCTTTCCACTATGACCACGCTCCAGAAACTGCGCACAGGAGGGAAATGGGGCGTACAAGATCATTCTGTGCGCGTGCCTAGAAGCCATCCCACAAGCCTCCACGTGTAACGATAGTGTTCCTGAAAATTATGGGAGAAAAATTCAATTAAAAGAGCAACATTAAATATAAGTCTAGGTGAACAGCAGTTCCGTTCAATGGTTTGTGATACGGAAAGGCTCTTCGTGAAGCGGTTAATGTGTCTAGCTAACAGTAAGGTTGTCTAGATTAAGCCAGAGATCCGATTTTCTGTTAAACCTTGCGAACTCCGTTATTTTTGGTTAGGTTTGAAACAGCGTTGACTCAGTAGAGTTAAAATGAATTCTCATGAGGTTTTATCATGATCTCAAAGGTCGCAAATATCAAACAATTCTACGCGACGCACACTCCAATAAATAACTTGGGGGAAAAAGATTACTGTGCTATCGATTCTAACTTGCTGCGAATTATTGCTTCAGTCATTACGATAATAGGAAAATTTAATTATACTGAAAAATAATTAAAGAAGTTTTAATTATCTAATAACAGTACTGAGTTGACATAGGAGTAAAAGTGTATGGCTATATTCTGTACACATTCAATTTCAAAAAGGAAAAATTGTATTGAGACTCGAATCTAACAGTGATTTAAATACATATTGTATTTAATTTGTACAATATTTATTTTCAGGTGTATATAATTTGACCTTGTTTATTACAACTTAGTAATAAATTGCTGCATTCATACAGTTAACTGATGGTCACAATAGGGTGGGTTTCACATGTTGCATACTATATTAAACTTAATTTGTTAAGAAAAGAAAATATATTTTATTATAAATTTCTTAGCCTTCGTACATAAGTAAAAATTTATAGGTGTAACAAAATGTATTGTTGAAAATTATTGACGGAATTAAGATATTTATATTTTATAAATAAATAATAATAGATCCTCCAAACGTTGGGGTAGTTAGTTGTAGAGTAGGTGTAATCAAAGGGAACAGAATTGATTGCCAATAAGAATCGATCTGTGGCCGAACCAGTCTCTCGCTGCCTCCGCGGCCTGGGCAACGCGGAAAAGACTCGCGTCCGAGTTCAAGGGAACTGGAGCCGGCAATTCTCGAAGCGGCGGCGGCGGAGGCGGCGGAGGAGGAGGAGGCGGCGGCGGTGGCGGTGGCGGCAGCGACGTGGGAGCGTCCTGTCGAAGCAGCAAAGCGACGCCTTCACGATGCACCAGCGGCCGCTCAGCGGAGAAGGCAGAGGAAGTGAAACCAACTCTGCATGACCATCAAATTATTGCGTTAATTCAGCAATTCATTACGAAGTTGTAATGAACACATTATATACATCTGAATACAAATTAAACATTCAGAACAAATTAATCACAATATGTATTAGATTACTGCTGGAATCGAGTGTCAATAAAATTCCTGCTTTATGACATTGCTTTGGTATAGGACTTAGCCATACACTTTTACTGTGATGTCACCTAAATCTGTTATTAGATCATTTAAAAATTCTTTAATTAGTATTTTAAAATTTTCCCTTCATCATCACTGACATCATAATTCTTGTAAGGTTAAAATTAAGAGGATAGTCATCTTTTGACAATCGGAGGCTGCGGAGGAGGATGGGGCAGTGCTGCAAAAGGTCACATCTCCGTAAGGATGCTTTAAATCTGCAACGAGCGCGTAAAATTGCCCCCGACAGGTTTACCAAATAAACTCTTTGCGGTCAGCGTGCCGCACGGTAAGTATGTTGTTTTTGGGCGGGAGCGAGGAGGAGAAATAAAACTACGCACTTGGTTGTGAACAAAACGGTTTCAAATTAGTCACAATTTATGATGTTTTGTCTTGCAATATGAATGGAGGGTTGTCACCTTTGAAGTGCACTTTGTATCTTTAAACTAACACCTTTTGTTACTCCTAAAGGCCTTCTTTATGTTAAGTTGCCGCCGTCTCTTCTGTAAGGAGAGTTCCATTTAGATATTCCACGCGTATCAAGATAATTCTGGACTATTTGAACTACTATTATCGTAAAAAGCTTATCAAATTTGTTTTTCAAGAATAAACGTATATTAATATATTCCATCACGTTCAAGGCCGCGTATAATATAAAATTAATACATTTTAAACAATTTTTGGCGAAAACGATTTCAGAGCCAATATTTTGTGATGTGGGCTTAATCAGATATGGATATCAGCTAAAGATACATCGTTATGGGTGATACGAAAAATGTATTAATTTTCTTAGTCTCGCTTTTGAAAGTTAGAATTCTTACTTTCTCATTAATTTTAAGGGAATTTATTGTAGTTTTAGATGATATAATATAGATTACTGTAACAAATGCCAATTTTGAAATCTTTTTACAAATATTTCTGACTTGTAACGTAACCCAACCAATATACGATTCTTTGTACGACACATAAATTGTTCCTTTCAAATATTCATTTCTTGTGTAATTAACACAGAAGTTCAGTAATAGACTGGTTGATGGAGACTCATACGCTTATGACTAGGCTATGTTTTCTCATTCGCTACTTAACTTTCCTGCAGTAAATTAGACATCCGTCAAGACTTTTCCTAGATTTTCAGTAAGTGGTGTCTGCCAACTCTTGAAAGAAATCGTTGCGATATTTTTACTTTCATTTCCATCAACGTCCTTCACTTTTCTGCCCTGCGATTCGCAATTTTCTTCTCGCGACTGCCATGAGCGGGGCTCGCGTGCGTGTAGCGGAAAACGAAACGACGTGTCCTTGAGAGGAAAATTGGAATAAGAACTACGAGCGAAAGTGACCGGAAATATCGTCAACGGAGCGAAAAGAACAGGAAAATACCACGTTTTAATCGGTCTTTGAACTCTGTCACTCGCCGAGCTCCCGAACCGTCATAATGCATGGACAATTTGAGGGCGGTAGTTTCGCACCGAAAAAAACAAGAACCGTTGGAGTATACCAGATCCATGATACTGTAACAAGTTTCCTTGTTATAGTATCATGGATCTGGTATACTCCAACGGTTCTTTTTTTCGGTGCAGCAGTATCCAGTTTTCATGATTTTGCTACAGAGGAGAAAAAACTCATTTTGTGTTTCCCTTTCGGCGTTCGACCATTTATTAT